TCTTTGGAATGCCTTTCACTGCTACCACTGTAGACAAATTTGATGTTTTCCTTGATCTTTCCAAGGAGCACGCTAATCAACAAAGACTAATAGCAGCAAGAATTAATCGAGATAGAAATCGATACTCATGAAGTTCTACTGTCAAAGTAATCAACAAATATATCACATCTTCTGCAACTACCAAAAAATGTCAAGGTCTTTGATCGTTGACTATGGTTAACCAAATTGCTTGCAATTGAAACTATGCACAGTAGCACTCATCACGTATTCTGTAGCACTCATCAAGTGATGACGGTCACTTGATGAGTGCTACGGAATACGTAATCTTTAGCGATTAATAAGACTAGTTGAGGGCTATTTTATTAGCAAACAGGGCAATGAACGGAACGGAACGTTGGATTGAGTTACGAGTGACGTATAGATTGGTGATGTGCAATTGCAGCTGGAATAAAATGATTATTAGGAAGTACCTCGATTTTATGAATAACGATATGTTCGATGGTGAGTGCGACAGGTACCTCGATCAGTGCCATCACCACATATTGCGATGGTGAAAGCTTACCTAAGGTGGCACCCATTGTGATCAAAATCGTTGCTGCCGCGAAATCACCACCAATTATCCTTAAATACTTGCTCATATCAGATCAGCAGCTTTCGTATCACTCGAACTTCCAGCACAAAACAATTGTTCGTTAAAACAATTGTTTTCTGCACGGCAATGGTTATCTCTTCAGAATAGTTGGAAAACGATTTTGTTTCAGTCACAGCTCAGGCCGTTTCAGATAAAGGGTACGTTTCAGAGGCAGAAGATGAGCGAAATTCTACGATGGCATTTGAAGATCGTTATGCGATGCTGCTATGATCTGGTGTTGTCACATAAAATTTGATGTATTATTTATTTCGCCACTAACTCAGTAATCGAAATCGTGAATTGTCCGTTTGCAGCAAACTCTTCAGACCAGAATCCATTTATGAGTATACTCCACTGAATGACGACACATGCGAGAAGCAGGTTAATTGAGACAGCAGAGAATCCATAACGTCTTAGGAATACCATTAAGAAGCCAAAACCGATGAAGATCATTACGTGTATATCTTGGAACACTGAAATATTGTATTGTTTGACGGGAGAAGAATTTTTGAAACTTTAGAACCGCAATCAAATCGGTCCTTGATTTATTTGATCCGTTCACGATCAGTTCAAATTAATGGACCAATTCGGAAGGGTTTTGCAGATACATGCAAATGCTTAATGCGAATGCTTTGCATTGTTGGCGAGGCATACTCCCTTACTGAGCGATTTTGTTTTAATGCATTGATCTGCAAGGCTGTGTTTCCATCTAGCTTTGAGATTTTGATTTTTCTAATGATTCAGATACCCTCAAAAATACTGTTTGCAAGTATAACATTGCGACTGGTGCGTTGAGGTTACAAGTAAAATATTGATGGCGTAAGCAACGAAGAGTTATCTAATACCGCAAAGATTTTTGATTCTGAACCAGTAACAGTTAATTGGTTTCCAGCGTTGGAATTTCATGACTGACAGACACATCAAGTGCTTCGTTGATCTATGTTTACACTCATATGATCACTTACTCGGATAATTCGAATTAACGAAGTTCGTACTGCTTGGTCCTCCAGGCATCGCACTCTCCGCATATCTCCCAAATATTCCGAATAGAATGAAGAAGGCGATCTGAAAATTGATCCCTTACAAGCAATCGATCAATGAATAGCGCTCATATGATGCTATCATGTTTACTGTGCACTCCTGCAAAACGATTGCTTCCAATACTTGATAATTGCATTGATAATTTTTTGCCGTCACTAAGCAACTTCCTTTTAGAGGATAGAAATGCTTGATTGAAGTTGTAAGAGCCGAAAAAGACAAAATGTGGTCTGAGATGAAAATGCTTTCGGTGACAAGGCCAGCAAACACTAACTTGGGAGAGAACAAGAACAATCGTGAACTGGTATTTCTGGAATGTAGACGCCATCCTCGGATCGCTGAAATTCAACAAATCTTGAAGCAAACAAATATCGATGAATGAAAGAACGTTGCTGTCACAACAAAAAATCATTGCAATCACACTCAGAAATTCACAAATCCTGATACATCTCACATGTTTGGATTACCTATTTCACTTACACAAGACTTTCATTGAGAATAGGAGAAGGAAGAGTTGAACGAGTTTGGTGTTTCATTGGATTATTTTTGAAGAAGATAGAAGTNNGCAAATAATCTGTATTGATTTCGATAAAATGTTTTTCTTATCAATTTTAAGCTTTCCAACTACTCACTGATAGGGAAACATCACCACTGGTGAAGTGCAACTTTGCAGACAGATATCTTGACTTATAAATATTATCATATCAACTACCCCTTAAACGCTCAAACAAACAACCCAATAAAATTGTTTTTTACACGCATACACTCATATCGTATCACACAAACAAGCTACATTCCAATTTCAGGCAGCTACGTACATTTTGATCAGGTAAAGCTTTTTGGAATGCATGCACAGGGAGCTGAGGAATGTAAAGCGCGGACAGTGCGATTAAGACATTCTAAATCCTAAGTCATAAATGCTCGATGGAAAAGAGAGCCGATAATTACAACTGTCAATGAATTTATTGCAAGTGAACTGTGAGCGTGTCACAACTAAAAATAACAATAACTGGTTTCTTTTCACAGCAATTAAGTTCATAAGTCGATGAAAGCAATTGGTATGGACGCGAAATTTATGATAGCATTCTCATATAAAATATTCGCATTTTTTTCGAGTAACAGCGAAAGCGAATTGCAATAAATCATGTGAAAAACATCTCGCGTACAGTTGCGTTCTGAACTGTTATTTTACACAGCAGTCACCACCAGGGGGCAAACGATCATGATCAAATGAGTAGGAGTAAGATTGATTCTTGTGGTAATTTTGAGGATTGTGAGGGGCATTTATAGAGGTGGGAAAACGAAGCTGTGAATTTGGGATTTTTTTTNAGAAATGGTCGGTCGATTTGAGGGTAGTTGGCATAGGAATGGGACTGCTGCAACCGGACTAGACATGCAGCGGCGATGTGAGGAAGATGGCGACCACGCGATTCATCCGTATGGGCGGTTCCAAAAACCTCGATTATAGGTTAAGAGAGGATGAAGGGAATGGGAGGGATGAAAGTTGCATTGATATTATTATGTGCTCCAATGGGGGAGGGAGGCAAATGATATATGAGGATATCGTTAACGATTAGGCATTCTGCTAGGGGAGCACTAGAACAATCGCGATGATGATTTATGACGGCAGTAGGCGTTGAAAGGCAAAATACAAGAGATAATTGGATTTGTTCGTAGGTACGTGTACGATCAGCTCTGACGAATGAATAGCAAAAGAAGTTGGCTGGCACTGGAGCGTTTTAGGCTCTGGAGATGATAGATACAGGTGGAAATTTGCTCTGAACAAGTCACCCGGATGCATGTTTCTTTTTCCTGTTTGATTTGATGCATTTTATGTGTTACGGTGAATGTGTGCATCGAATTGAAAGGAGTAGTTGCCATTGCTGGTTTTATGGCCTTAGCGCCAACTCGTAAAAATTTCGCTACCTTTAATATGCGCTCACAACCAAACGACAGTTATTTGACGACACATTAATGCAATGGGATCAGTGATTTGTGTGAAGGTGGAAAAACTAAAATGAATGAACAATTTGTGTGGCACGCAAAGAGTCAGAAATCGCTGGCTATAAATCATTTTGTTAGAGCGAAATCTGAAAATGCTTATGAGATCATTCCATTCATACATCATTCAATCAAACACCATAAAGCAATAATCGCCTAACAATTATGCGCTTTCGCGTGTTTTCACACTGTACAATGAGCCGACGATCTGTACGAGAGCAGCAATTTTGTGTGGTGTTATTTTCAATTTATATTCGCTTCTTTTTTTTGTTTTGTTCGTTCAATCATTTCAGTGGACTGAAACAAGTTTTGCGATTAGCACACGCATTGGANTATTTGATGAAGGAAGGATTAATCAAAATACATTCGGACAATTTCCTCATAGATTAATTGCTTCAGCCAAGCGTTTTGAGGGGTGGAACGAAGGGTTGAGTTGACTTTCACTCATTGAGCTAGCTAAACGTGTTTAATTTGATGTAATTGGACACCAGTACGGGATAGATGCGCTCTGGGAAAAGGATTTAGGCAAAGAAGGAAGCTAACGTTACCGTATCGAACACGAATGAATGTGTATTCAGTGCGACAAATAAGCGCAAATAAACAAACAAATAAACTACTTTGTTTATTAATAGCCGAAAACCTATATGACGATCACTTTCGAATCACCGTATTAAGCGATATGATTCACTGAACTATTCAAAACTTTCTTACTGTTCGTATAGAATTTGAACAGAAAGCAATTAAAATATCGCAAATCCAGTGAAAATGGCGATTGAATGGCGTTTGCGAGGAAGCAGTGGCGCTACTGAATGACAATTCTGGCCAATTGCGTACTCACAAATTGCAGACAATCTTCCTCTTAACATGACACAATTGGTGAATAGTGACGATTCAACTGAGGTACTTGAAACAGCACAGAATCATAACTATGATCATTCGTACAAATTTCCAAATATCACTTCGTTCTTGTACAAAATCGTTAAATGTCAATATTTGCAGATTTGGTGCGAATTCAATCCAATCTTCAACCTGACTCTAGACTCACTTGATTATTCGCGTTTATGACGAGTGAACTTTCTCATCATACTATTTATGATCGGTGATCGCAATCGATGATCAACACACTAACAANATGAATCATTCTGAAGATACTATCATAGAAGATTTGTGCCTAGATCGAGCGGCCTAGAAGCAGCGCCTGAACAATTGCCCGCGGATCTTCTTTTAGTGATTCGATTCACGTTCAAATGGAAAGCTCGCGATTGTGTCATTCTACTTCCGTTCCATCGGGTGCATTGTGTCAAGCATTAGGCGTTTGCTGTTTGTTATTAGGGAAAGAAAAAGTTTTTGTGAGTTATAGAGACAATTGCAAAAGCAAGTGTTGATTGGCACTCAGAAATCTGTTGATGTCAAGTGATTTCACGTCAGATGACCCGCATGTTTGTTTGCTGTATTCTATCGAATAATATTGTTTGTTTATATTGGGAACATCTGTTGCTAAATCTGTTTGAATGTTTACGTTGCACTGTAGATAAATCACATTCCTTGATCATTCTCTGCTGGTCCAACGATGAGCTGACTTTGATGGGCATCGAAAATGGACGCTTAATCGATTTTGTTTATCGAAGCGCGAATTGTGACGCATAAATCCAATGGCTTGGTTGTGATGGTTTGCCGTATACAATACATAAATGTACAAGGCAACGGTCACTACAACTGAGTGACCAATGGTCACTACTCCTCAATGTGCATTCAATTACTCGCTTCATTTGCATATGACCGTTTTAAGAGCGCAGCTATGACCAACATACGGAAATCCACACACCCATACTTGTACAAACACATCCGTTATATGTTGATTGTTATTATTAGTATTGTTATAAGTATTATTATTGAAACGCTATATTATTTGCGTTCCTCTTCGCATCATTTTGAATATTGTTGTTGATGTTGTGATCGCATCCACCTTTCCGCCTACCTGTCATAGAAATGACTGTTGCATGATGCATGTATGAATGCATTATATTTCTGCAAAGTGTATGTTTGGTGTCCATCAAGGTCGAGAGATATTATATTGGTGATGTTCACAATAACAATCTAATAATAATAATCATCAGCATCGTCACTTCATCCCTCAAACTATTATGATTATATTGACAATCCAATAAATTCACTTGAACTACTCTTCGATCATTCACTTCACATGAATACCATTAACGTGTGCATATCAATAAAACTCCATAAATGCCTATGCAAATGTCCACTTAAACTGTCAAATTATAATTATCACGCACAGCTTATTATATACCATCCACTAACCTTCTGCTGCATTCACAGTTAATCTACAACGATGATTTGCATGTTTTGCGGCTAACAGAATAAAACACAATCATCAAATAAATCGGAGGAAAGATAATGTGTTCATGATGAGCAGTTATTCCAGGGGGGCCTCCAAAACGATCACAATTATTGTCCCTTACATCGTTACTTTCATTACATCNCATGGTCGTCCTCTTTCTAATAACATTATTATTAGATGGTGATCGTCATTAAGATATGCTTATTATTACTATTTGTAAGACCGAATGTGTTTTGTATGTTGCTATACGCAGCAGCATTATTATGCTCAATACGGCTCAGAAAATCACTCCACACAAGATGCAATTTCACGGAAACCTAGGTCACTCGTCGATCGTATGCGTAACATCATCATAGCCACACTTGCTTGCTAATAAATTTGGGTTCGACAAATGACGCTATCCATTATTCGAATAAATTATCGATATAAGACAGCGAATACGAACATAAGCCTAACTGCAACGAGTAAAACCATCAATTGTTTGGGATCGTTTCCCGCTAAGTGCTAATGATTGCTCACCAGAGTGTATCAATTACTGTGATCGAATGGCTTTTATTACTTAAACTGATGAGGATATTACTACAACGAACATACATATATTAGCTCAAATTAGAAATTTGATTGGTGTACATATGCCATTTTACGATTAAGTGTTTACTGATGACAATGCAAGGCTGGCAAATCGCAATAATGAACGATTCGATTAATTGGTTTCGATATGATGAATAAGAACCTTCGCGCATTGTTCCAACAAATTATATATAAATTTAGAAAGTATCATTTCTTGACAGCTCTCTAATCATTGATCTAAAATCAATCATTGATCTAACTATCATATCAGGATGCTTTTTCGATCCAGATAATCCTAAGAATGATAGAAGGATGTCTGAGGTTCAACGGAATGTTAGTTCAGAAAGTAAACATCTCAAAATTTGGCCGCTGAACGGTCGTAATAGCGAATAAACATTAGAACGTCAACAATAGCATTATCTCAAAGGGAATTATCCTAATTGAAAGCATGCGTTGCATGATATAAATAGGAACGAAACTGAACGTTCTAGGGACATACAAGCACATCATATATTACAGATGCGTCGAGACTATCAACTGAGGTGATTGAGTAGTGATAGAAGGTGACTTGAAATAAAAATGAAGTGGATGCTCGAGGCCGAATGAAACCTGTTGTTCTTCTCGTCAATTTGAGGGCGTTAACCAACATCAATAATAACAACAACAACAAAAACAACTTTAATCGATCAATTTAATTCGATAAAAGACTTTGAATTCCAGACGAAGTAATTCATTTTCAACTCAGCATTGCTTCCATTAGAAGAACTTAGAAACAACAAAAAATTCTCAAGAAATTCAATTAGAATTGTGAGCAATTCACAGTGTTTCATTCATTAGAATGATGGAATGATCAATTATAAATGCTGCAATTAACGTTAGAAACATTTCAATCACGTCGACAATTGAACTCATTAATCATCTGCCACTAAACTTTTGTTACATTGAATTGTGCAATTCTAAGAACGGCAGAAAACAGTTTTTGTTTTCGAAGACACTTTACTGTAGCGTAGACGCGGATTGTTTCACACTGGATAAGATCAAACATTAATGTTCTATGGTTGTCTATTTCTTTAGTAAAAGATTGATAATTTGTGCAGGACGTTAGGCTTGGTTACGAGATATAAATATAAATCAACAAGGGATTGAAGATATTGCTTCAGACATTGCTGAGCACATTCCGATGTTCGAGGATGAATCTTAAACTTGCCTAGCCAGTATCTTCTTACAATGCACTGCCATTCATGGAGATCCTAAGGAGTCAGTGATCAGGACCGACAGCGTGACAAATAAGCCCGAAAATTCCTAGACGATTCGGATTGGGGATTTCAAAATTACAACGCAAACGAAATTGTACGTTATGATGCAACTTAGAGCCGAAAAATCGACTGTAAGCAGTGACGATTTCGAATTGGAATGCAATTGGAAAGAGTTGGTGGTTTCAGAAGATTACACTGCAACGATCGAATACCTTTTGCTTAAGAACAAAAAAAAAACTCCTAAGTTGTACACATCTCCTTATGTTACATCACAACGATTCAAGAAATTTTTCGTGCGAATGGAACGAGAAATTTTTTTCAGTTTGATTTGATCGATGACTGTGGTTTAATGCAACAAAAATCAGAAAATCCTTTGCAAAACGCACATCAAACAACTGCTAATGCCAACAAAACCTTTGCAAAACTTTTCTGCAATTGACTGCGTCTGATTGTGAGTGATTTTGCATCATTTTACTGCAAAGTGAAGCAGTTTGCTGTTCGATTTGCACACAATACAAAAACGAAACACACATTCGACAAAATGCAAAAGTCAGGAAAAAACTGGAAAGCAAAAATGAAACAATTTTTAACCTCATCACGCGATTCGTCTAGGCCAATCAGGTCATACTCATGCTTTTTCTAGTGCATTTCCTGCTCAGTTGCTGTTTATTTCGGGATGATGATCGACCAGCGATCAGTCTAATTGTAAGAAAGAAATCTCTTCAGAATGCGTGATTTCGTGCATATGTATGTGTGTGTTAACATTTCTCAACGATACATGAAATACAATGAGAAATGTACTGCAAACACAATCCTTCTTCTGCGCAATTTTCCAGATATATCAGCCTAGGTGAACTAGTACGACTCGAAGCCGTGCTATGATATCACCTTCATCAGAATATGCAAAAGTATTTCGTGCGCAATCACTATCGACTGACAAAAACATTAGAAATTGAAACCATACAAAGCCATAATCAACGCATTTCTGAGCATTTTCGAAGCAGAAGCGACATTTCTGAATCGAAGCATCTACCGTAGAACGTGTGATAAAAGAGTACGTTTCACTGTCGCTGTGTTTCAGTCTCAAACGCAATCCGATGGTATCTTATCCGTCAGCACTGCTGATCAAAGGGGCACGCTCTTATTTATGATTAGTTCTGAGGGAGCTCAGATGAAGGCCGGCCGGCCGCTTTACAACATCGTTTCTGACCAATTGCAAGTGAAAATTCCCTCTCTGATCATAATTTATGTTAACCGCTGGAAGGTCACTCGTCGTTTATCATTTACATTGCTGTGAGTAGTTTTCATTTTTATGACCACACTCAATAGTTTCACTTCAAAATGTTTCAGCCAAACAAATTGAAATACAACTGGACTGGTCATGAGCTTGCTCATTTCCTAACATTATTGCTGAGTTTGCATATTGTTAAATTATGCGTGCAAACTTGAGAGGATTTCCTTTGATGGTGCACGAATGAACTCAGTGTGTAAGGGGTATACTTCAAAACTTTGAGAATAAATCAGTGCAAAAATGTTACATAATGTGTATTGGCAATTGTCGATGAAATTCAGCGACTGCATTAGATAAACTTTACTTAAAGTGATCGAAGATATNGTTTTCGACATCCGTCCGCTACTAGTTGGCGGAAATGCTTCAGATGAACGCATTAATAACAGGAAAAATTTGGATGCGAACAAATTGTTAGGATCTCATTCAATTGCTAGCTTCACAACAACGCAACGATCAGTAAAATGAATGCCTGACGGATGAATCAATGCTCTTGTTTTACGGAAAGAATTGACCGATACAGACTTGTAAATCATTGAGCATTTATTTCCTCGAATACGCGCCACAATAACAAAACCCCTTACTAAAGTAAGATGGTGCAGTTTGAAACAACGCTAAGCTGGTCTAAAATAAGAGCTGAGAATAGCAGGCTGGAACACGCTATATAACAAAGGATCGTTTCCATCACGCCATTTGTCATTGTTGAAACAAACAGTTTTGATAAAATGATCATGAGACTGAAACAAAAAGCTTATTCATGTGTGAAGTTCAAATGAAAGCAATGGATCAAATGGAAAATATTTCGAATCGAATGAAAGGCTTCAATCAGACTTTCTTCATTCAGCGCATCACATCGTTCAGAAGCCAGTGAATCAATCATCAAAAACTGCACATAGCATTTCAAAAAAGTTTCGCATTTAATTTGAATATGCGAAACGAAACGATCGTTGTTTATTGATGCACATGAATAATGAATGGAAAATATTTTCAATTATTTGGAAAGCATCGAGTCACNCACTGTTCATTCATTTTGAATTTTTATGCGATGCTGTTGAATAGGTTTGTGATCATGTTGAAAGCATGAAAATTATTATCGCAAATCTACAAAAATGTATCTGTTGAAATTGTGCGGCCTTTTGTATTTCAGCGCATTACAGTGCATTCGTCAACGGCCAGAAATAGTAGTTTGTCGCGTTCGTTTAATCCGACTGCTCTTTGGTCTTAATGAATTGAAATGGAAAATTCAATCGGGATTTTTATATTCATTTCAATCGATGAACACGTTTTACGACCCGTGATAAATTTCATTTTGAAATGTGTTCCATAAGATTATCATCTCCATTTCATTGACATTGAACTTACAACCGAATTTGTTTGAGGGGTTAAAATATTGAGTGCACTCGTGAAACGTATGTCACTTCGTTCTGATAACGAGATTAGCATTAGTTAATTCTCAAAGGAATGCGATAATCAATGACAGTTTCTGCTAAAATAGGATTGCTGGTCGATATCAGCATCAGAAAAAACATGCGGGCAAGGTTTTTGACCGTCGCACGTTTACTGTTTATCGCTGGCAGGAATGTGAAATGACAAATTCCACTGTAAAAGATCAACTTGTGATTTTCTTACGTAATCGTGCTTTCAGAGTCTCGTTCAGATTCAGAAAAAAACGACGAGCAACGGCTCTGAACGACGAATTATCACAGTTAATCGCTGCCAGGAATGTGCAAACACGGACAAATTCCACTGTGCAAGATTAAGATGTCGTTTTCCTACGCAGTTGCTCTTTTTGAGTCTTGTTCAGTTGCATAAAAACTAGCGACGATCTCTTTGCAAACCGTGTCGACATAAGATGATTAAGCATGACTTTGGGAAAAAATGGTTTTTGCCCTGACATTAGGATGAAAAGCGTGCAATGAATGACGTTATCAACAACGTTCACAAGACTTTATTTTTAAGTGATAAACCACTGTTGAATAAAAATATTTTGCGTTCCCAGCAAACTTTCGTGTTATGAGTGGCGAGAAAAGTTAATTTGAAGATACAAAAATATACGCAATATTATTCAGTTCAAGTTCAATACGTTTATTCTGTTTCGAGTGAATCAAAGTGCTACTACCATTTGACATTTGTTTGATGACGTGACAATGTTTTCAAGATACCGAGTTGTTGAATGATTCAGTTCAAAAAGAGTTCACGTAACCAGTTCACACCGTATGGATAGTTATTCAAGCTGAACACGATCAGGAAAATTGTCATGTAAAAGTGTCATTTCATCGAGTTTTTCTCGACTGATGATCTCCCATGAAAAAAACTGATCTATTCCGTGACAATAAATCTCACCATCCTTCATGATACTTTCAAATAAATATTGCAGTTGGACAAAATGTAGCATCCAGAAGATTTTTATTGTACTCACCTTTCGGACGCAGCTTGTGGATTATGTGGTTTTGCATTCGATTGACCATCGAATGCTGTGGTTTGATAGACACCAATTTTATCCATTTGAATACCTTGATCTGGCTTCGTTCCTATAAACGACCAATTTGAATTTATGCAGTCATTTAAGCTCATTTACGCGGTCATTTAAGAAAATTCATGGTCTAGCTGCTAGAGGCCTCCCGAGAACCTGGTACCGATACACGTTGAAAATGTTATTGAAAGGCATTCCGTCACTGACAAATGATGAAGACACATGCATTGTGCTCGCTTCTTATATGCAATCACGCTTCTGTTTTGTGAAGAACGATGCAGCAGAATGTGTCTTGAATCATGAATATGCATAAAACGTATGCGTATGCGCCTATGGAACCAGACCGCTTTTATTGCTGAAATATTGCTTAACAATGATCACATGGATGCTAGCGCTGTGTTGTTTGAATAAAAACAGGTTAACTTTTGAAAACATTTCGACACTGGAATAACAGTACCATCCACGTTTTGCAACTAAAGATCAACCGCTCAATAGGATTTTCGCAGTTAAGCAGAAATCTGGTGCATTTTCAAAACATGAATGCTCTAAAACAAAACACTAGTGTTACCAATGGAAATGCTCATCAAGATATTGCTAGACGAGCGTCTATAATGATATCAGAACTGAACTAAGAGCAATGATAATAAGATTTGCCTGAGAGATTCCGTATAAAACTTTGTTAGGCATCCTTTGTTGAGTAAATCGTTGGAAAGACGTGAAATTTAATGATAATTAGTGATCACTTGAGCGCAAAGCGCATGTCTGATCTCTGGATTTAACAGCAAAAGTGCATCATGATATACTGATTGTAAGCTTTTCTTCACATACGATCGGACACTAGTTGCATGTGACATGAGACTTTCAAATTGATTTCCGTTTGAATAAATGATTGTTAGTGAGCACCAGGAGATCAGATGCTACAAGAAGTTTGCATTTATTAGGGAATGTGTTACCTACCGTTCATATCGACTGGTATGGTTGTCCTCAGGATTAAACCTGCTTTTGGAGTTCTACCCTCTGCTTGTGTGCAACACTGCTCGGCCATTCTACAATGAAACAACTCAATGATTCCATAAGTTTTCATGCAAACACAACGAGTAAACATTTTCTGCAGATTAACGCTTCAACATTTTCGAGAGTTTACTACATTGCACTCAACGAACCGTGGAAATACTCATGACAAAATCAACAATCGAAATATTGTGTGCACAATTGATGATGATGATGATGAGGAAACGTTCAAAAGAAACCACAAAGACACTGCAATGAGATCATTGATCACTGAGCAATGTAATTCGAATGAAAGCTGGAAATTAATTAGGCACTGTAACATGGGAGCGGCTGCTAACGGAAGTAATTAATTGAAGAGTCGAATGTTATCGATGATTTCATACAGACACACACACACACACGCACACACAGACATATCACGCCACGCACGTTGAACAACTGTTATCAGCGTGGAACTAGTCAGAATCGATGAGCCTAGTTAAGGTCATTGAAAAGCGAGGAACACCGAAAATGAATCT